CCCCAAAACCCCAAAACCCCAAAACCCCAAAACCCCTTGTTAAGGAATTTATATAGAATTACTCTTCCGCCACATTTACCAATCTCCCATCTACCTTCGGATAGATTGTGAAATATTTTTGATCCGTTGGATTTCCTTCTTCATCTTCTGTTAATAAATGGCGATCCTCATTGTGAATGATTTCTAAGCCTCTCTCCACTCTTTTCTTCTTGGTTGAGAACCATTTAGAATTTCTTTTAGTCATTAATTGAAAGAAGTTGATAAATAGAGTGTCCAAAGTTGGACAGTCTTCTCCATCAGCTATCATCTCAGCATTTACTAAAGATTTGAATCCATCTTTTCCATCATAGAGGTATTCTTTAGTTGCCATTGTGTATAACTCATTGTCTTGGATTGGCTGCCCGTTGATACTCGCTTCAAGGATTCTTTCAAAAGCAGGCTTGGAGGAATCAAATTTTATTTTTGCTCCACTGATGCAAGGAAATCATCCATCCATTTTTGGTAGAGCTGACACACTATTTTCAAATGCTTCAAGTAAATCTTCCCCCTTAATTCTAATTATAACGGTATCGTCCTGCATTGGGAAGAGAGTGTCTACATGCTTCCATCTTAATATTCCCTTCTCAATAATATCGTCTATTCTGAGAGAACCTGAATTAATAAGTCATACATCCGTATCGAGCATAAGTCTCATAGCATCGGCAACTAAATTTGAAATGTTAGTTTCTTTGGTTCTAATTTCTGAAAATCTAGCATCAAGATCTACTCCTGTGTTACCAGCTATCTTTTCTAATTCAAGTGCTACTTCTTTCCAATATCCATCAACTATCTCCTGCATCTCAGGATTAGGGTCAAATTGTTTGGTGATCTCGACTCTTTCCCATCCAATAATTCTTTTCTTGTCATGGTCAACTACTAAAGCAGATTTTTCTTCTTGAAGTCTCTCCTCTGGTCAATTCATTTCTACATTAATCAACGAGAACTGTCTAAAATCAGTTCCACTCTTCAAGACTAGGGTATTATGAATGTTGAAGTCAGCTTCGAAATGATCATGCCCTCCAAGTATCATATCCAACTCTGGTACTTGATCTGCGAGATGTTTATCATTTTTGACTCTCATGTGTGTAAGAGCGATAATTAAATCACAGCCTTGAGATTTGAGGTCTTCTCACCACCTTCTTGCTCACTTGACGAAGTCCTCATAATCGTAATCTTCCTCCTCAATATAAGGGCACACTCCTAGCCACTCTAATTCAGCGAGACCGATGAATCCTATCTTGAATCCCTGATGTTCCATGATATGGTGATCTGTGCAGTCACCAAATATCTTCTTGGTCTTGGAATCCCATACGTTCGAGAGTAACCATGGGAAATTAGTTTTATCCTTCAAAAGAGTAAATTCATAAACTCCAAAGTCGAAGTCATGATTTCCAACACATGTGACATCTATTCCAACTTTATCGAGGAAAGGAATCATTTGCTTTCCTTTCATGGTCTGTGAAAGTTTGGAAGGAGCAAATATATCACCACTAAAGAGAACTAGAGGGTTTAAATCCTTGTATTTCTCCACTGCTGTGATGAACCTGGCTGCTCCCCCAACTGGCTCTGTGTCTTTTTCATTAATATTGTAAACATCGTTGAAATGAATCAAGTGAAAAGTCTTGTGCTCCTTGCAGCCACCTTTTACTATTTTAAAACATTAGAATTTTGTTAAGAGAGCAAGTCTAAGTTCAAATAATGGAATACTACACCCCCTATTCCTACCTTCCTCTTCCTTCTTCCCCTCCTGTCTCTCAACCGCATGTTCCACATTCCCACTATCCTTCGAAGTTCCACACCCCATGTTTGTTTTCGTTTGAATGAATTTAAGTGTAAGGAAAGTTTTAGGGGTTTTGGGGTTTTGGGGTTTTGGGGTTTTGGGGTTTTGGGGTTTTGGGG